GATAAACACACAAGGTAACGAAACCATAGTTGTAAATCTAATCTAGGTACACATTTGGAAAAAAACTATATTAATTTACACACATTGTATCAGATTTTCTATAGTCGGTATCTATTCGATATTATTCTCTTCATTAATTTACCAATAATACCTATGACTGTTTGTAATATCACATACGTATATTGAAATAAATCGTACCAACTTAAACTGTGTACGTTAACAAAAGTAAAAGTGTATCTTACCTTTATTGTAGGCTGATTGTAACTTCTTTCTGGATTATTTCACATTCACATTCTGTAGTCTGTGCATAACACATCTTTACCAATTCACTATGCGACTCGCACGAATACACTGACGAGTTTTAAATAATATCATTTGAAACTAAGATACACGTGACCATGACTCGACCGACCGTACAGCTTTTTATGCCTAAACAGAAAAAGAAAGGCATGCGCTAATAGTGGAAGACGATTAGACGGTTGAGAAAGGAAAGGATATTGCAGAGATAACGTTGGTAAACAAGACGGTTTTTAAGATTTACGTGTACAACTGATTGGTTAAAAAAATTAACACAGTAACTAAATAATCTGCACTAATATTATAAAGATGTAATAGCTAATTTCCGACGCTACCTATCCGATTTCAAAAATTCTTTCACCGCTATTCAGAATGGGTTTTGAAGTTGGATATGCGCTATAATAAAAATAATAAAATAAAAATTGGATAATAGTAATATTCTGTATTTGATTCAGAAATTAGGGATTCAACATTCAAACGAAAATATAAGTTAAATATTTAAACACTATATTGTAACACCATTTTTTATGACATATGTGTATATTATTGTTTAAACTTTATACTGTTTTTTTATATTGTGTTTATGTACTGCATGTTTAATGGACTTTGCCTAAACGGCTTAAGTAAAAAAAAAAAGAAAAAGAAATTATGTCCTGTCCTGTATGTCAAATGCTATTTTATTTACTGAGAATATTGAACGTTTGTCTTTCAATAGAATATTGAGCATTTTTGGTCATACGAATTAAGACGTTTTATTTCGTTAATATTTGCAGTGGTACTATATTCTTTAAATTTATATTTATAGAACTCGGCACAGTTACTGTCATTTANATTTCTTATGATACATACATTAATTACCACTTTCACAAATACATATACCTAATAGTTGTAAATTTAACCACGCGTAACAATAAATATTAAGATATTTTTATATTCTGATTTTTTGATAATTTAATTAATGGTGATACGTTTTGTTATCGGATTCTGTCGTCTTTGTTTTGATAAAACCACCCTCTTAATCTTTAATGTGACATTATAAATTTTTGTTTGCAAAAAAATTAATGAATGTTTCGTTACCTCTAATACCATGCTCAAAACAAGCTAAATTAATGTTTACAAGGGAACAATGAAATTATTTTCATTTTTATTAAGTACGAGTACATTATTCTGTGCGACGTAAAATTTCTTCCTGAACTATGAAAAATTTTTGTAATAACTTATTGGGATGTACAAACTACTTGAAGTTGGTCCCTTCGTAATAATTTTCATTAGGGAATAGCAGGTGAGACCACGGTACATTCCTTCAGTAAAGGAATGTTTGCTCGTGTCAGGTGATGCATCAAAACCCTCAATAGTTTGGAAATTCCGGAAAATACGTTGTTGCGAAACGCTCCTAAGGGTCTGGAAAATGACAACTATATGGACAGAGGAATTTGACTGTTTTGAAATATTAATTGACATCGTTAACTATTTTGTATCAGTAAAGAAAATTTCAACCACGTTTAATTTAATTTTATCTATCACGTTGCTACTTTTATTTATTATTATGATTAAATATTGAAAAAGATAGATCGTAACTTTTGGTACGAGCGAGCGTAAAACATTAGAGTAAATGAAGAAGAATTTTCCAAGTTGTTTGAGTCTGCAAGGGTGTTATCCTGATGGCATTACAAAAGAGGTGAACAAGGGGTATAGAGTTTGGAAGGGGATTGATGTACACACAAATAAAAATACATTAACGAAACAATGTTTTAAAATTTAAGTTAGACTACCACTATTCAATCCACCCTACAGTGTATTAATAGTAGATCAATTTGATAGTGAAAAGTAGTAATATCAATTTGGGTTTTGAGGAAATAGAGGAACGCAAGAGGCCATTCTAGCTTTACGGTTAACAATGGAGAAAACGATAGAAAAAGGAAAAAGTGCGTATATAGGATTTGTAGATTTAGAAAAAACTTTTGCTAGTGTTATATGGGACAAGATGTTAAATAAACAATTCTGTATGAAAATAAATAAAAGTAAAACAAAAATACTGGTATGTAAGGGAAGAAACAGTAAGAAAAAAACGAAAATAAGATACGAGACGAAAGATTAGAAGAAGTGGCTGACATTAGGCATCTAGGAAATCCGATAAGTCAGGATGGAAGGAGTAGTAGGGATATAAAGCATAGGATAGCGCAGGGTCGAGTCGCCTTTAATAAAAAGAAGCCACTTGTATGCTCGCGAACGGTTAATTTAGAAATTCGAAAAAGGTTGTTAAAGTATGTATGTTTGGAGCACGGTGCTGTACGGGTGCGAAACATGGACGGTGGGCGCTGCGGAAAAGAAATGGTTAGAAGCGTTCGAAATGTGGTGTTACAGGCGAAAGAAACAGTAGAACGGAGGACTCTATGGAAGTCAATAAGAAATAGGCGAGATATGTTGGTAGGATTCCTTCTCAGGTATGAAGGTCTAGTCAGAGAAGCAGAAACAGGAGTTAAGGGGAGTTGAGGTAGACCTAGATTAGATTACTGTTCATAAACAGTTAAGGATGTGGGGTGTTCTAATTTTAGGGAAATGTGAAGATTACCTCAGGATAGGAAAGAGTGGATGCACGTGTGCAACCAGTCTTAGGACTGACGACCTTATAATGATGAAGTAGTAATAGTTTTTTACTATTTCAATGCAGAATTTATTGCTACTTATACACTGGTATTTAATAAAGTCTATCAGCATATTGGCAAATTCTCTCGCTGATTGTCTATTTAATAATCCCAACAAATTGTGTTCCCTGAAATTAACAATAATGTGTACAATACATAAATTGTATACATATTTTATTTGGTTCATTAATTAACTTTTCTACCTTTGTTGCGAAATATGACGATGCGCTGTCTAATGGTGCTTTGTTGCTATACAATCAGTACACTTATTGCATTCCCGGTTTTCTAGTTGATTAAATTAGTCTGTCATCTACTGCGTGAATACATGTACCAATAATATTATTCATTTATCTATTAATAGTAGCGCTATTAAAATTTAAAAATATTATCATTCTAATTAAAAATTCTGAACGTAAAATTTTCAAATATTTTCAAGGACTTTTTCTCAGTTAGTCCTGGGTTTATGCGGAGAAAAAATAAGTTATATAGGGACCAACTCAAATGAAAATGGCATTTCTTGAATGATTACTGTAATCAAGCTTTCAAATGTTGCATTGAAACGCAGCTTTGATATGATTCACAATGACTACAAAAATGAGATTTTTGAATGACAGGTAATTTGGGCATGAATTTAAGTAAATCAATATTTTCGGATTATTATTTAAAGTAAGTGCACGCATGTACCAATACAAACCATATCCTATTAAAAGTGTAAATAAAATTTTATATCGTAGATAAACATTGTAATGCTATAAATTTACCACCATTATAAAGAAAATTAAAAAGAAAACGATGAAAATTTCTTATACTATAGGGTGTTTCTGAAATAAGTAGTAAGATTGCAGGAAAATTAAGCAAATGTTTGTAGGTATAAAGGTATATGTCCGAAAGTTGAGCGTTTTTAAGTGTTTAAAATACTATTTCATAAACACTTGTTAGACGACGAGCCGAAATTTAGAGCCTATTTTAGATTCACGAGGGAGCTGTTTGAGTTTTCGGTTAACCTCATTCAGGAACATGTAAAAGCATTCCCCAGAAATTGAGTGCAAAATCCTATTTCACCTGCTGAAATACAGAAATACCTGTTGTGCCGCAGTGAGTTTTATTACCACATTATGCTATAGGTGGTTAGTGATGATTAACATAGAAGACATTATTGAAACATGTTCTTTTATTATTTCACTGTATATTATATGTATGATTAGGCAAATAAATTTTCAAACAACCTTGTATTGCAGCATGTTACACACTAAAATTAACAGTTAAAAATCTTAAATTTCATTAGATTATCACAACAGGAAGTATTATCTTTACTGTTATATTTCTANGAGACGAAAGATTAGAAGAAGTGGCTGACATTAGGTATCTAGGAAATCCGATAAGTCAGGACGGAAGGAGTAGTAGGATATAAAGCATAGGATAGCGCAGGGTCGAGTCGCCTATAATAAAAAGAAGCCACTTTTATGCTCGCGAACGGTTAATTTAAAAATTCGAAAAAGGTTGTTAAAGGTGTATGTTTGGAGCACGGTGCTGTACGGGTGCGTAACATGGACGGTGGGTGCTGCGGAAAATAAATGGTTAGAAGCGTTCGAAATGTGGTGTTACAGGCGAATGATGAGGATACCCTGGATAGAGAAGATTAGAAATGTAGAGGTATTAGAAAGAATAGGAGAACAGAGGACTCTATGGAAATCAATAAGAAATAGGCGAGATAGGTTGGTAGGATACCTTCTCAGGTATGAAGGTCTGGTCAGAGAAGCAGAAACAGGAGTTAAGAGGAGTTGAGGTACACCTAGATTAGATTACTGTTCACAAACAGTTAAAAGTGTTCTAGTTTTAGGGAAATGTGAAGATTAGCTCAGGATAGGAAAGAGTGGATGCACGTGTCCAACCAGTCTTAGGACTGACGACCTTATAATGATGAAGTAGTAATAGTTTTTTTACTATTTCAATGCAGAATTTATTGCTACTTATACACTGGTATTGAATAAAGTCTGTCAGCATATTGACAAATTCTCTCGCTGATTGTCTATTTAATAATCCCNACCCTGAATTGCCTCTCTCCGCTTATTTAATTATATTAACGTATGTACCTATCTACCCTAATTTCCGATTAGCAAAGATATACATATATATATATATATATATTTAATTGTTAGACATTGCAAAATTTGTCGCAACCATTAATAGAAGGTATTATTTCATTTTAGAGCTTCTAAACAAAACAATAAAGACAATAGCACTGAATTGCGATTTAATAGAATTCTATTTATTACGTTTACTCGGTCTGTTAGTAGAGTATGGTAAGCTTGGTCTCGTCGTTGTTGATGTAGGTAGTAAAATTTTATGTAATGTGTTTTCCCAAACCAAATCTTGTTAAATTAATTTTGACTAGACCAAATTGCCTATTACCTAATTTGTTTTCAACCAAGAGTGAGTTAAAATGAGGTCAGGTTGGGTTAATATGGAACATGCAATCTAAATTTACTCTTCAAAACACAATTCATATGATTAATTTCAGTAAAATAAGAAGTACTTATACTTGACATTTAAAATGCTAGTGAATTTTCCTTGAATCGTAACTAGTTGTTATAACAAATAAAGCATTCTTATACACATAGTACAAAGACAATTAATTACTTATGTATGTACAATAACGTTATGTACCGTGTGTCCATATGTTGTATACATTTTATTAGCATACGCACTAATGCATTAGTAAAGTCCAGCTATGTTCCTCAATTTCACAAAGGACTGCTGCAAACGGACTCGTGAACATTTATTGTTAGAAATGCCAACCATTTCAAACGGTCTATAGTAATAAGTTATTTGTGGAAGCCCATAACATAGAATCAATTCTAACATTCAAATAACTTGCACGTAAAATAATTTAATTTACTATTTAGGTGAATAGCCATCTTGTTGCGGTACTTATTACTGATGGTAAAAACGTAGTAGTAGTAGTAGTAGTAAATTAGGTTATTCAGATATGGTAATTTAATCCTACTGATCCCCGATCGCATGAAACTATTCTCCCGATTAACAGATAATGAAATATTCAGTAACATTCTACAATTTTGCTACATCAGATTAATGAAAAGCGGTGCCTATTATTGATAACACAGGTTTTACCACAGTAATGAAAAGGGCTTTACCGGAAGGAATTTAGTGCACTGAATCAAAACCTGACTTCAGAATTTTGGCCTATGTCAGAATTTTGAGATATTTTTCTCGTTTTACAAACAAAAACTATATTCGCTCATATCGGAAAGCATGTTTTTTAATTTCCGTTTTCGAATTTCAAAAAAATATTTTTTTTCCGTGCTGAAACAATTTTATATGGTGCACGTCCAATTACTTTTGAAAATAAAAAATAATGCATTTTCATAGTGCTTATCAAATAACTACAGATAAGATACAAATAAGCTACTTGTAGTTATTCGGTAAATATCGTTCGAAGACAGAAGGTAAATTGGACAACGATACTTCTACAAATCTCCAGAAAACAAAAGTAGACTTAGGAACAACCCCGATTTACAGTATCTACTACCAACCAGGAAGAATGAGCAACCATCGCTACATGTAGATCAAATGAATAAACTACAAGAAGGTAACGCTGCAAAGATAACCATAGACGACTTACAACATAAAAATTTACAAATGGTACTCAAGAATAGAAAACACCAGAGGAAAAAATCTAAAACGATACGCTGACTAAAAACAAAATCTACCCATAGCACCAATGAGACTAATTACTAACACAAACCCACCAATTTCAAATAAACTCCATAAAAGGCAACCAGCTAATCACAACTCAATTGTATAACGCATTGGATCAGATGAAGAAATGGACACTGAACAAATATGAACCGCAACCTGGAGCAAGTTCAAATCGGGTGTACAAGATAAAAACTACAAACTACCTACTTGGACGCTGAAAAATTAGAATAAGCAAAAATTACATTTCAGAAGTGTACACAAGAACAATTCTACAATGCATTCATACCAGAACAAAAGAAATCAAAGCCATCATAGACTTGAATAACGAAAAGTGCAAAGACGGAAAGATATATCTCCAAAGATACTGTCTGTAGAACAAAAAACCCTAAATAGGCTCACTTACTCACCTGAATGACACAAAAGCAGATACAAAGAAAAACATGATGAGGTCGAACAGTCCGCCGCAGTCTATACTCTTCAAAATAAGAAAAAAATAACATCGCTCCACTTAAAACAGTGGATAACACAATCACAACCACCAATAAAGATAAAGCAGAACTTCTCGCAATCCACATTGAAGATTAGTTTAAACCAAACCCAATTGATGACAGCATACAACACAACATCTAATAAAAGCACATCAACAATGTGGTTCATTAAGTACTAAGCGAGAAGTATAAAAACAATAGATAAGCAGCTGTACCAGAAATTATTACATTCGAAGCATTAAAGGAATTTCCACCAAATGGAATAAAACATGTGCAATGCAATACTTCCCTGAAATACGGAAAACCTCTGACATAGTGATGATCTTAGAGTTTCAAAAACTATCCAATCAACCAGGGAGATACAGACTCATCAGCTTTCTCCAAACTATAGGCAAAATAATCGATACAATAATACTTATGCATCTTTAATTAAATATCCTTGACAAAAATATTATCCCAACCCATCAATTTTGATTCAAAAATGTCACTCTAGCACAATAACCAAATAATATATAGGGGAATGAACCACCACGTCAACCCTTTTAGACATAGAACGTTAGATAGAGTGTGGATCCAAGGACTCATTTTAAAGCTGCACAACGTAGTAATCTCCAAAATAATGAAACTCACCACTAGCATTTACATTCCCTCTTCTACAGTTAAGTAGCCACACTTTCCTATATTTTAATGAGAAGTTCAATATGTCAACCGTTGCTAACTTCAGTTAATATTCGTCAAATTGTTTTGTATATATTATACTGATGACGCACACGTAATCTTAAACTAATAACGCAATATATAAATTCAGCAAAAAGGATAAAAGGACCAGTCAAGACCGGATATCTAACATCTAACAGAAGACAGCATCAAAACATTGCCTATCACCGGCAATGCGATTCTCAAACTTCAACAGTTCTCCCGTTGGGAGTCAGCCCAAATGTAATTCATCCCCAAAATCACTTTTGTTTTATTATAATTGGACCTCATTTTCATGCTCTAAAATAAGAATATCCATCTCAAAATTCTGATGTGATGTAGATAGTTTTCAGGTTAGATTTAGGTTTCAGTGTACCGATTTACTTCGAGTAAACCTCCTTTAATTTCTGCGGTGCCAATAACTTTTTTATTTGTAGACCTTTATCTAAGTACAATTATGAGGTGAACAATGTAGAACCTATCGCGGTACGGCTATGGTAAAGAAAGACACAGTAGTGTTTGTAATTTCTTAATCAACATTATGTACAGACGTAAATCTATCAGTAATAAACGAAGATTTAATTTAATAGGACTTTTCTTTTATCTCACTTTGCCGCGAAACGGCCTCGGATGCCGTCGGTGACCTCCGCAGAGGATCCTCTTGAAGGCTTGTCTAAATTCGGGGCTAAAAATTGTATAGATGACCGGATTCAACGTCGAGTTGAAATATCCTAGCCACAGGAAGAAGTTCATAACGTAACCGCTTATATTACATTTATCGCACAATGGCATTAAAAGGGCCAGGATGAAGAAAGGTAACCAACACATAACGAACGCTCCTGTTATAATGGCGAGTGTTTTTGCCGCTTTTCGTTCCCGTTTCGCTTCGATTGTTTCCTTTTTTTCCCTTCTAAACGATGTTAATTTATTTACCGATTTCGGACAAAGATGAGAATCTTTCGAGCTGATTTCCGCTTTACTAGTTTCACTTTGGTGACTGGCCGAACCGTTATTTGTGGTGGCAGTCGATGATTTTTCTGGTGATACGTTATTCGAAACGGTTACGATCACGTTATTCTGCGGACTGCACTGATCCATTGGCTTCATTATCGTAAATGCAGTCGTTTCCTCTTTCTCTTTCTTTTCGTTACTATGATCGGTCTCCTCGTCCAGTTCGTCGACTACTTCCATTGTAGTAGTCGACTGACCTTCGACCATCACTAACGAAGCCATTAGGGCTTCCGTGGCGGATGACTTTTTATGGGAACTTTTCTTCATCCGCAGGAACTTGCGTTTCGAAAGGAAACCTTTGCTACCTTTGCAGCCGGACGACGTACTTTCCACGTGTTTCCTCTGTTCGGTTCTCCTACGGATTCGCTTCCGTGCCGTTTGGAATATCTTCCAGTAGAGGACCAAAATAACTAGCAAAGGAACGTAAAAGGTGGAACATGTCGCGAATATTTGATAGTAAAGATCCTGACTGACGAGACATTGTTTTTTAACGTTTATCCTATAAAGGTAATCGGGATCTTTCCAACCGAACTGAGGAACCTGAGGAGCTAATGATACTATGAGGGCTACGCTCCAAACTACTAGGATCATTATACCGATTCTTGCACTATTTCTGGTGTGAATGTAATCTACGTTTGTTACAGCCCAAAACCTGAAGGTTATTTATTTGTCAACGTACGAATTTAATCATTTTAAGAAAGAAAAAACTTACCTATCAACCGCAATAGCAACTAAATGAAGAATGGATGCTGTACAACACAAGACATCGCTGGATGTCCACATGTCGCACAATTCAGGGCCCATTATCCAATTATTACTTATCTGGAGCAAAAAGAAAAGCAAATTTAAAATAAGCTACCTTCTGTTGATTTAGTTACAACGGTTTATGCTTTGAAGTTAAATATGTACATACACGTTTACACAAGTTGTTATTGGATAAAGTACCCAATTATTGTGCAAACAACTTTGTTTATCTTTCGATGAAACTTTTAAAGAAGTTTCGCAAAACGTGCCTCCGAAGGGTTTTAAGTAAATTTTGAGGATGGTCAAACAGCCCTAGGCATTAAAAAGTTGAACAATGGGAATTAATAGAAAAACTTTTTTCAATTCATCAATAGGCTGTGAGGAATTTAATTTTGAATACTTCAATAGAACGGGGTGGGTCTAAAAATAGGATTCAGAACCAGGAGTGTTACCAAAGTTGCTTGAATTGAATTTGTAGCAAATGAAAACCACTGATGCTTGATAAATTGGTCTTATAGAAAAGAGAGTTCTCAAAGAAAATCCGATGAATTTCTATAAAAGAGCAACGCATATAATGAAGCAATCGAATACATTAATTAAATAACTCTGGCATAATGGAAAATACATCAAAGCATTTACGGCTTGTTTTATTGCCAAATTTATATATATTTTCTTTGTATCCCTATAGAAAATTAATAAAATTCCATTAAAATAATCATTACTGAAATATTTTAACGTGGTGTTTTCTTAGTTACACTATAAAATTAATTATTTACATTTTATCTAGCTTCGCTAATTAATTGTTACTATTTAAATTTCTAGTCGAATACTTTTTCATTTTATTTCAAAATTATTTAGGTAGTCTTTGATTTAATTAATTTTTCCTGGTTACAATGTGCGTAAAACGTATTTTAAACTCTACATGCATACACTGTGTTTGATTAAGGGAGAAGGAATATGGAAAAGAAATAGAATAAGCCATATCGCACCACCCAGTGTTATACATAAATATTAGAGTAATAACCTAACCAAAAACCCCAACTGCTCCGGCAATGATGACCAGGATTACCTAGGGCAGGGATGGCGAACCTTTAAGTACCGTCGTGCCATTTTTATAAAGAAAAGTTTAATCAGGTCATCAAATAATTTTGTCTGTGTGATTATTGGGAAAATAAAGATAATAAATAATATCAACTCAAAATTCTACAAGAAAATAGGAACATTTTTCAATGTTTAAATTATACGTGTAATTTAAATTAAAGTAAAATTAGTGTGACTTCTGTTTTTGCAGATTAGATGACAAATAACTTATGTTAGCGTTGTAAGATGTTAATTTTAGCAGAATGCATGCTGAACTGGAGTCATCTACCAAAAGGTTTGTAACTGCGAGTTTTTGTTGTTATTAATCTCTGAAAATAATGACTCGCAGGCATAGGTTGATGAAAACATTATTAAAATATCATACGCCAGCTTTTTCAAAAAATTAAATGTATTTGTTATCGCATTCCATGTTTCCAAAATTTTGTTATTAGTATTTTCACTTGTATTACCCGTCAATCTTTCTGTTTCAATTATTTGTAACTTTTTCCTTGTTTCAACAACTTTTTGAATCATATTGAACCAGACTGGAAATCAATCAGCTGCATTTCAGATTCTTCAATTTATTTTATCAAATGTCACATCAGGGTACATAATAAACTTTCGTATTGGTATTTCCGATAATTCTCTGAAGTGAGAAAATCTTGCTGAAAATTCCTTGATTAAAGAACAATGACAGAAACATTAGTGACGTGCCCAAAATATTGTGTCCCGTGCCACTAATGGCACACGTGCCATTGGTTCGCCATCCCTGACCTAGGATAATTGTGTAACGCGGCGTCGCTACCTGCTGTGGTGGAGTTTCATACGCGAACACGGGCAAGGAAGGATTGCACTGCCGGTTATTTTGTACGCCGACGATAATGAAACAATTCGTAAAAGTAATGAATGTGAGCGAGAATAAACGGGCCTTTACGCACTCTATTGTCAACCATACGCTTCGCTATATAGCCATATAACCATAACGAGTGCGCAACAGAAGACCAAGGATTATGTCATTCCAAATTACCTGTACTTGCTGTTCAATTCTTGTTGTACAGCGAGGCCCATGGTTAACACCTGGGTCACCGTTTCGTGTGCATGCGAAAGCTCATGAAAGTTTGAAATACGAGGGTGGATTGATAAGTTTCCGGCCTAACCAAGAGATGACGCCACTAGGCCTACCTTGAGGTGACATTCTATAGTACCATCCTTGGATAGCTTGTAGCTATAGTTTCAGCCCGATCTCCTTGCTAG